AGCAATTTTGACTTTACTCAGAAATTTTAATGTGTTTCTCAAAAATTTTAACTTGTTTTTTATGAGTTCTCACTTTATTTTTCAGCAGTTCTGACTTATTTTTCAGAAATTTTAAATCTGGTCCGAAATTTTGACTTGTTTCTCAGAAACTCTGAGTTAACTTGGAAATACTTTCTTATTTTTAAAGAAATTCTCAATTAGCTTCCAGCAATTTTGATTTATTTTTCAGAAGTTTTACGTTTACTACTGAGTTATTTACTTTCCTTTGGGCGCCTTCGTACAATCCCAACATTTGATTTGAAGTTTTTTTTACTACTATTACCAAAATTGTTTTTTTTGTTCCTACTCATACCTTTTCATATTTTAAGCCTTAATTTAAAAAAAAAACGGAAAACTTATTATTCTACTATAAAAACTCCGGACCAGGGACATTTGCATGAGGCATATTGGTGTTTAGCATCCCCAGTATAAAAATTTTTCAGACAACCTGTAGAAGCAAACTAAAGTTCACCCATCCCATCCTATCGGAACGGTTGCGCAGACTATAACCCGCGGCATTTGAGGGGGAAGGGTATGGAAACTGCGGGGGTGGAAGGGATCGGATACAAAATAGCGAAAACGATACGGCACTATCCGGAAGGACGGTAATTAGTATTTCGACCAAAAACATCTGCCCGGGACCCTGCCCACCCCTATTAATTGCAGTGTGCTCGTATCGCCGAAGGCGAAAGGGGTGGTGAGGGGGGTCGAAACGATAATTGAATTCGGATAGGGGTACCGAAAAATTATATGGGAGAATTTGCAATAATAATTGCGGCGTCGATAGAGGCGGCGACGGAATTGTCAAAGCCTCGAGCTCCGAACTTTGCGTCCCTGACGTCACCGCCAATTTGACGTCATTCAGTTTTGGTTCTGTTTAAATTTGGCAAATTTTTTAGGTTCTGTTTTACTTTTTTTAGTAAATCAGGGTATAATAATTTTGGCATTTCGGAAAAAAGGGGCACGTGTCGTTTTGTAATTCTTCATTTACGTCCCCACTAACTCATTACAGACAGTGGACATTGCATATTTTACAATTAAACCAAATTTTTACAATTCTGGTAAAATTTTGCAATTCTTTTTCGTTCTTTTTAATTTTTTTTTGAAAATCTAGGTATAATAATTGTGGCAGTTCGGTTAAAAGCCGCAAGTGTAGTTTTGTAATTCTTCATTTATGTCTTCTCCATTACAGAAAGATCGCGGCCTCTCGACTAACGAAGCTAAATTGTAATTCTTTGTAGATTAGCGAGTGGACATTACAGATTTTACAATATTTTTACAATGCTGGTAAAATTTTGCAGTCCCTTTTAGTTGTTTAACTTTTTTTCGAGAAATTTAGTATAATAATTCTGGAAAATGGGATAAAAGACGCACGTGCCGTTTTGTAATTTTTCATTTATGTCTTAGCCATTACAGAAAAAATGCGCCTTCTTCCTTTTTTATTAGCGAGTGGACATTACAAATTTTACAATTAAGCAACATTTTTACAATATTGGTAAAATTTTGCAAATCTTTTTGGTTCTGTTTAACATTTTTCGGGAATCTTGGTATAATAATTCTGCAAGTTCATATAAAAGACGATCATGTCTTTCTGTAATTCTTCATGTTCGTCCTCGCCAATCCATTACAGATAAATACGGTCCCTCGACTAACGAAGCTAAATTGTAATTCTTTTTAGACTAGCGAGTCGATATTACGGATTTTACAATTAAACCATATTCTTACAATGCTGATAACATTTTGCAATTCTTTTTGGTTCTGTTTAACTTTTTTTCAAAAATCTAGGAATAATAATTCTGGTATTTCGGATAAAAGACGCACGAGTCGTTTTGTAATACTTCGCTTTAATCATCGCCAAGTCATTACAGAAAAAACGCGGTCCCTCGACTAACGAAGCCAAATTGTAATTCTTTTTAGATCAGCGAGTGGACATTATAGATTTTAAAATTAAACCACATTTTTGCAATGCTGCTAAAATTTTGCAATTTTTTCTGGTTCTGCTTAACTATTTTTCGTTAATCTAAATTTAAAATTTGTGGCATTTCGTGGCAAAATATATAATTTCGTGAAAATCTCAACTTTTAGTTTTTATTTATTTTGGATAAAAGAGTTTGATCTAAATTGAGAACATGTCCGAATTCGACCGAACCAGATACCAAGCATCAGGCTGTTGTTGTTATTAAATTATGTCATCGGAATTACCTAACTTCCATAATAAACAGACCCTTACGAGAAGTCGGGGGATAACGAAGTGAAGTTTACCTCAGTCCCGTCGTCGTCGACTAATTTAAATCATTTTCCGTTTGCTCGTCGAAAACTTAAAACTACGGCGTGTAAAAGAAAACCGTCCCTAACGACGAAAACAAACAGAGAAGCACTTTGGTCTCGCAAATATTCAGCAGATCCGGTTTCCTAGCAGCACCGGCCTCAGGCCGCAGGCCTCTCGAAGCCACTCACTTCGTAAGGACGTCCAGAGGCGACTTTTTTTATTTATTTTTCTTTTAGTCACAGCAACAATAGACGATATATCAACAATAGGCGGTCATTTAAGAAGGGTCCTCATCCATATCACGAAAAGTATTAGCCATAAATATTTGGGGTGAAAAAACTTATAACTAAAGCAGAGAAATTATGATAAGTTTTTAGAATGGCCGCCGGGGGCGCAAGCGAGAGCGTGCACTAACATTTTCGCATTTTGTAGTTAAAAAGGGCTCTTCTTAGAGCATGAACTCTGCCCTGGGCGTAATTTTTTCAAAGGAATTTAAAGCAACGGTATCACAGAAGATGGCCAAAGGGTCAGTGAAAACTGGAAACTTACTGTTAAAACGCCAACATTAAACTTAAAATGTCAATATCATGTCAGCGTCAGACAATAACACCGATTAAATCACTGAAATCTTTGGGTTTTAATGTAGGATACTTGAAAATAAACACGAAAAATATCAAGCACTTCTAAAACTGGTTATTGTTATTGTTAAAATCTAGCTATATATATCTATCTATCTATTTCTCTATTTCTCTTTATATCTATCTATCTATGTATCTATCTATCTATCTTTGTATCTCTCTTTCTCTCTATCTATATATCTCTCTATCTGTGTATGCCTCTATCTATCTATCTATGTATGTATCTCTATCTCTCTCTATCCCTCTCTTTTTCTCCCTATATCTCTCTCTATCTCTCTATATATCTCTTTATCTCTATATATCTCTCTTTATCTCTCTCTGTGTCTTTCTATCTCTCTCTATCTCTATCCACCCGGCTGATTTTTAGTAGACGACGGTACCCCATGCCATAAAGGAGAACAGCAACCTAACCTAAATTATGGTTGCAGATGACTTTTTTCAATGTTACGAACGCTGCTACGTCGGCTTCTCACCTCCTCCCGTACTGAGCACTCCAGTCTGATGTTATTAATAGTTTTTATTTATTTATTTACGTATTTCTTTATTTGTTTGAAGAATTCTACCCCACAGGCATGAAACCAAATTACAAATTATAGTACAAATTATTAAATAGTTACAGAGGCATTTCAAGTAATGATGACATCACGAAGCTTAACCTAAAGACTAACATAACATATCGGATATATCTGGTACCAGATATCAAGAGCTTTTTCAAAATCAATGCTGGCCAACAAACAGGGTTTTTATCTCTAGCAGATATTTACGAAAGCCCTTCTGGGTTTTACCAATCCTTTCTTCTAATCCACTATATTTTGTTCCGTGTATTACAGGCCAGAATGTTCTTTTTTAAAAGAAGGTTGATTTTAATTAATTCTCTGGCATTATTTCAGTGTCGAAGATCTCGGTCGTTGCTTCCTTATCTTGTAACAATTTAAATATTTCCCTGCTGATATCATCTCCGAGCTTTTCAGATATTTGCAATTGTTGGTGCTGTTTCCGTTCGGATCTTCAATAACACTCTTCAGTGTCAGTCGCCGAGATCCAACTACCTGCCTGCCATTTCTTCAATTTCTTCAGACTCTCGCTTGTGGTATCTTCCTCCTAATTTCTGAGTTTTTATAATGCCATCCGGTTTTTCTCTTCTGAATTTCTGTAAAAATGTTTTTCGATTTATTCCACAGTCCTTCAATATTATTTGCTGTAGTCCTAGTCGTTTGCGACTATTCTTCAAGAAGTTGTGGCTCTTCTCTACTTGCCAACGTTGAAAGCCTGTTAGTTAGACTGGAGAAGTTGACTTTGATTATCACTTAACCTGGACCAATTAATATTGGTTTTCCTAGTAACTTAATTTCTTTTTACTTAAGACTTTAAGACAATGGTTTTTATGCGTACGTACTTTTCGTGTAATTCTGTTAAACTGAATGTAAAAACTAATCCTATGAAGCACTTTATATTTCTTGAGCACGTAAACATTTCCAATGGCCCGGTTGTCTTGCCTATAAACCTTTACGGCGGTCTGTTTGCTCCAATGAAAGAGTTTGCACTGTGCAAATACCATTAAATAACTTCTTAAAGATAGTTTGCTGCATTATGCGTTTCATAGCTTTTCCTGACTGTAATGATGGTTTACTATAAGCTTTATTTAGTCTTTTTTTATTTATCCCACGCTTTACAAAAAAACAAAATTTATTTTTGTAGGTAATTCAAGTAAATCTAAGAGTCATGTTCAGGGCAGGTGTATCGATAATCGCTTCGGACGTGTCGATATTTTAAATTGGTGTTGTTTAGAATACTAGTACCATTAAAGCTGCGACAACCTGCTAAACGTGCGTGCTAGGGTGTGGCGCTTGAGTGTTTCGATTTTTGGAAGCAGTGAATAAATGATTTCGAAAGGTGGTGAGAAAGAATAGGTAAGTTTAAGTTTAGTATAAGCTTTCCCTAGAACATTTTTTTTAATTTTCCCCAGAATAGAACAGATCGCCTCAAGCAGAATCGCAAATCCTCATAAATTGTTACTCTTGTTTTGAGTCGATGAGTGTTATCGTTTAGCCACAAATCGACTTTTTTATTCTCGGCCCGAATACCTAATTTACAAAAAGGGTAATTAAAAATGGACTTTACCAATGGAGAAAAACGAGACATGGTAAAAATGGTAGAAACGATGTCAACACATCGAAAGTGTATTTGAACATGTACAAAATATGCGGACAGAATGGATGAGGGAACTAAAGAAAATAAAGCTGATGAGGTAAGATTAACGTGAAATTATTTTATTCCCGGGAAAATCCACACGCCCAGTTTACTCTGATTTTGATTTAGTCTCAATGTGTATTAAGGATAAACACAACATTTTGGGACCTAATTTTTTTAAATGGCGAATGGTCTCATCAGATTTTCTAGTCGACGCTTGAAGACTATTTGAATGATTGACCATTGATCCACTTCCGACAGACAGGATCGGGAATAATGGACTCGTGAGATGGCCAGCCAGGTCTCCAGATCTGAGTGTCGTCGACAAATTTTTATGGGGTACACTTAAACATAGAATTTACATCAATAGAGAGTTTGCAGAATCACGGACGTTAGCTTTTTTTTTATAATGTGAAGTTTCTCATTAATTCTCATACACTCATAATTTTATCTTAGTTTTTTAAACGAAGCAAACTCAGCGAGATTTTTATCCGACAATTTAAATAATAATTAAATCAAAGTTTATACATTTTTTATAATAATGTTTTACCATATCTCGTCCTTCTCCATTGGTAAAGTTCATTTTTACAGTAGATATTAAAATTTCATCAAGTTTTTGTTCAATATTTTGAATTCGAGGCAACACAAATACCGTAAGAAAAAATATAAGTGATGATGGCTTGAGAAAAACGAAACGTCGCAAGGGATTTTTGACCTGGCCATAAGATGAACCCTAAAAAGTTCCAATGAGAATGTATTTACAGAGTTTTAAAATGAAGACATAAAAAAATAAAAACGAACACCGGAAGTTTCAGATTGTCTTCCATATAACTTCAATTTCAAAACCGAACGTCATTCAAGTCACCCCGTATCTCTTATCGGGATCCTAATGGTGAGAGTAGAATTTAATACACCCGGTATACGAAAACAAACCCGCTCGAAAAACGGTCGAAACACGACGTACCTGTTCGATCTTGCTGACTCTTGCGTGGGGCATTGCACGTCTACGATGTTTCTTAGAGCGTCTTGATGCCCGCGCGATCTAGTCGTCTGGCCATCCCGGGTGGGTGCCGAAAACAATCTGGTCCGTCGACGCGGTCGCAGCCGACTGAGACGGACGGAGATCGACGCGTAACCACGGCGACGGCGGCGCGTGGCGCCGTGGGCGGGAGGGACACAACTCTTTTTTACCCCCACCCCCCCTGCCGGAGGCCTTTTTTTTCTCGTTTTGCCCGCGAGTCGCTCGGTTTTGACGTTTCCAACGTAGTGACCAGAAATGATCTCATCATCATCATCCGTCAACCTCTTGCATCCACATGAGTCTCCTCCATCCCCTTCCACAGTATTCTGTTTTGTGCCTTCTGCTTCCACTTTTCCGTTGTTTTTCTCATATCGCCTTCCCACTTTCAAAAAATTCGATTTTTCGAAAGTGCCTACGCTCGTATAAAAATTGGTACAGAAATGATCAGCCTCAAATATATATATTTTTTATCTGTTGGTTTTTCCGGAATAACTTTCGAACTGCTGGAGCTACAAAATTGAAATTTGGCTGCTTTTCAATCCTTCACGAGACTTATAAGAAATGGCCTTGATGCGACACCGCCATCCATCTTTTTTTCGCGATTTTCGACTGTTTTTTGAACGTTGCTATGAAACACGATAAGTGTTCGAAATTTGAAGCAATCGACTTCATATTTGGCACATATCTGTAGCTTTGCCTCTTGACGGAACCTATTGAAAATGGGGGAGCTGGGGGGTCGGGAAGTATTTAAAAAAAAACGCGTGTGCAAGGGAGTACAAAAAAGCTCATTTTTCGAAAACCTCCAGAAGACGCAGAAGATACGGCTCCATAAACTTTTATTCTTGACAATTTTTCAAAAATATACAGGGTGCGCCGCAAATTCAAAAAAACTGAAAAATGGGTCCCCCTATTATTGAAAATTGGCAATTCTGCGTTTTAGATGTCAGTTTCTTTTACATGACGGTATAGCCCGTATAGACAGCTAAAACTTTTGTGTTTAAGATTTTTAGTATTGTACACGAGTGTTCGCAATATTCCGTGCAATATTAAAAAACGTACCAAGTGTCCCAAATTTGCAGCTACCGACTTCAGACTTGGGAGAGAAGTAGAAGTCCGGACCCGCATTTAGACTCTTTAAATTGAAAAAGAAAAAACTTATTTTCTCGAAAACCATTCACTCCATCGGTAAAATTCTGGGACCAGGAAACTTGAGAGACCCAGGGCTATAACCTCTCTATAAATTTTTTTTCCAGTTATGTACAGGGTGTGTCGATTATGGGCAAAAAATCAAAACGTCTCTGAGAATTGCCGTTTTCGTGGGTAAATTATTAGCAGTAAATGAAAAACTATAAAACAGTATCGTAAATTGTGTCGAGAGAGAGTGTCAAGTTTCGTCTATTATAGAGGGTGCGCAAGATACTTAAAAAAATCGCTATAATTTGTACAAATTTTTATATTTAACAAAGTTTGCCATAACTTTGAAGTTCGGCGAGACTTGAAACACACTTTATATAGGGTGTATGCACAATACAATAACATCGATTTTGCGAAAGTTTCATAGTGGTCTGCAGGAGCACCATAGAAAAACCAAGTCTCCCCCTAAGACAGGAAACTGCCAAGCGGTTTCTTTTCAAAATACAAAGCTGCTTCGCTCAGCAATGATTTTTCGAAAGCAATCTTGTTGGGTCTACCGCTTGAGAATTTGTTGTATGACATCTTTTATTTTATTTGTAATTCCCAGCTTTGCTCGTTTCATTTTATTCGCATCGCAAATGGAATTTCGTCTTTGACGGATCGAAAATGTTGAGAGATTTTTGGACAAGTGGTAAATCTGGTTTTGAAGTTATATATAATTTTGGTTTTAGATGGAAGGTGTCGAGAGTTTTCCTCTCAAAGGCTTCCATAAATATATTCGCTACGACTGGTGATAATGGAGAACCCACAGCTGTTGCCGACGTTTGTTCAAAAATTTGACTGTTCCAGACAAGAATTTTTCAATTAAGATAAGGGAAATTGTGTTGAGAATTTCAGGGAATAGTAAAGAGCGGATTGGCGAAACGTTAGCAACTTCGGCTCAGCTATAACCGAAGCAGGAGGAATCCAGAAGTTTTGCAAATAGTATTACAGTAGCCTGTGAAAGTTTCTTAAAAAAAAAATTATACCATATACGTTAATGATCTTGAGCCAAAGTAACTTTTAAGTTATGATAAAAGTAGAGACCTTGCTTTAAATTAATGTAACTTTATTCATTATTATTTATTTATTTATTATTTATTTATTTATTATTTATTTATTTAGCACTTGGCTATTTACATAAGCAAGTAAAATTTACATAAACAAAATTATAAACTTCGCAAATACCCCGTAAGTCTCTTCTTGAACACTCTTGGGCGAGGCGCTCCCTTAACATTATCCGGCAGTTCATTAAAATTACAAACACCATCGTAGAATAGAGTTTTCTGTAAATTTGTTGTTTTTACTATAGAAACATTGAAGTGCTGATTGGGACGTATATTATATTGATAAAAGTTTGACCTTTTCTCCAACCATAATTTAAGATAGCCTGGTTGGTCATCGTGCGCAATTCCATAAACCAGCATTAAACTTGCTCTTCTAATGAACTGCCCGACATTTAGCCCATTTAGCTGGTCTAACATACTCTTTATAGGAGTATATCTATCCCAGTTCAGGATGATTCCCAAACCCTATTTTGTTATAACTGTAACTTATGTAAATCTTCTTTTGTACAAGATATAAGCAATGAACAAACATATGAAAAATGAGGCAAAATTATACTATTATACACTAATATCCTAGTCCACTGCAATAAAAACCGCGATACACGGTTGAAAAACTCTATTTTCTTACCAATTTTTTTGCATAGATATTCAACACCATTACTAATGCATAATTGTGGATCCAAGATCACCCCTAAATATTTAATTTCGGAAACAAACTCAATTTTATTACCCTGTATATCCACAGAATACCCCGACTTATAAAATTTTTGACAGTTAACCTTAGAACCGACAACCAAGCACTTGGTTTTGGAGCTATTTAATTTCAGTTTATTTTGACACAGCCATTCGTAGAAATACTGCATTTCGGTTTCCAGTTTGGTAGCTATTTCTTTGCTATCGTTTCCAGAGACTGAAATAGCTGCAACTGCTTCGTGCAATTCGCACATTTGAATTGTATACCCACCTTAACATAACGTCAAATTTCTTCATATCGAGGAATCCTTTTCATCAGTATACAAGGCTATTTTCGTCAGGTTGAGACTTGTTTTGCGCAAAAATTCCCGCTTTTGGCGGAAAACCCAAAAACCGGGCGACTTTGACCGTTGACCTTGAATAACTTTGAGGTCTGAGGTGCCCAACCGCGCCACCAAAGTCCAGGTCCGTCCATGGCTATTGGTTCGAAACGTTATAGTTAATTTTCGTCAGGAATTTCGGTTAACAACCCTCACCGGCTGTGATTTATCGCCCCTCCGGCCATAATTGATGAAAAGATTTCAACGAATCGACCTCCGGCCCGACCAGACCATCTATCATCGGCATCTTCAACGGGCCTCTTCTGGAAAACGTCTGTCAAGGAACGCTGACGCGTCCTGCCGGTGGGGGGGTGTGTTTCATCGTCACATCGCCCCTCAGCGATTCAAAATTGGTTGTCGATCAGGGAAAACACACCCCTCGCGTATATTTTAAACGGGCAATCACATTCAGACGTCGGCCGCAGAATCAATTAATGAACCCTTCGCGGAGCTGACGTTTAAAGGGCGCAACGCGATGCATACGAAATTTAGCTTAATAATCGAAAGGCCAGGACCGGGCTCGGTACTTTTGCGGACGATACGGATAAAATGGTAGTTTAAACCGCTTACGTCAGTCGCCAAATTGAACCGATGCACCTTATACTGATGATATGACCATTTCAGAATATATGCATCGAAAGCCAGTACAATTTTTTTATAATTAAGCCCGTTCTTCAAAAATCCCATAATTTTTTCAATGAATATAAAAGGAACACAAAAATTCGTTATGGAAGTTGTTTATTAGCTCTGAAGGAGCCAACAGAACGATTGGCGAAGCATCAGCAAGTTTGATTTATAAACAATCTAGAAGATTTGTAAATAGAACAATGTTGTGTTGCTTGCTGGGAAATCTGCCTAATCCAGAAAAGCAATTATTAATTTGGGTTTAAGTTTGATTAAAAAAAAAACCATTTTTACAAAATCTTTCCTACTTCCACCAAGCTCTTCAAAAAAATTATCATTAAAAGCTTTTTATTCATAGAATCATCCCGTTGGCTTCTCCAGAGCTAACCAGGGCTAGTTTCAGATTAGCTCTGAAGAAGCCAGTAGAATGATTGGCGAAACGTCACCAAGTTCGATTTATGAAGAATCCAGAAGATTTGCAAATAGGAAAATGTTGTATTGTTTGCTGGGAAATTTGCGAAACCCAGAAAAGCTATTATTAATTTGGATTTAAGTTCGATTAAAAAAAAAACGATATTTTGTAAAAAGAAAAACGATACTTTGTAAAAAAAAAATCGTAATAGCATTTGTTATTTATTTCCCAAAGCCTACTCGTCCACAATGGTAAACACCCCGCATTTGGAACAGGACTCGAGCCAAATATCTGGTGTGCTATATTTTGTAAAATATACAGGGTGTCCCGAAAAAAAAAACATATCTATAAAAATTATCTATTAGCTTAGCTCCGAAATTTTTCATTCCTTTTAGAACGCCGTTGTTTTCGTAAACAGATATTTAAAAAACAATCCGGAAAACCATTAAAAACTTAAATTGTTTGAATTGAACGTTAAATTTTGGCATTTCAACGATGAACAGAAATGTACTAACCTACCCGTTTGAGAATAACGCGGATGTTTTCGTGGATAGTTATTTTAAAATGAATCCCAAAATCCATTAAAAACTGCCATTTTTTGAAACCTCTGCAAAATTTTTCACTGCTGAAACCCATATTTTCCAAAATACGCTTTGAACGACGGATACAAAGGGATTAGTACGGACCTGCCCGAGTCCGTCGCACAAAAAGGGGCTCGTGGGTACCTTCGCTCGCAGATCGCGACTATAGAATCGAATTTCAATCTGGCTACTGTCAAACATATATTTTTTGCGTACCAATATCGTTTTTACTACCACGCGCTAGTTGAAATTTCTTCGTGACTTTTTGACTCGTCGATCACCGCCCGCCTTTTCCGATTACCAACATGAAAGGCGTCGAACTATCAGACAAACAAAAGAAACGATATTCCGCTATCTGGGAACTGATTAGATACCGCAGATTACAGAATTACGGGATCCGCCATCATCGACAGTCGCACGATTTTCGTGTTTTTTCCACGCATTTTCGAGAATGCTCCTGCTCGGCCATTTTCTCGTCGCCGTCGCGATATTCGAAGCGTCCGGCGACCCCCAACCCATCTCGAAAGAGGTACGTATCCGAATATCGCACCTAGAGACCTACCTAAACCTGAACATCGAGCTATTAGACATCTAACACCCGTCCTACCCCAGCTCGACGACGAAAGAGACTGGATCGAGATCAACTACCGTCCGGTGCGCTTTAGCCAGTCCATCTACAAAGCCCAGGTGCTGAAAAACAACTCCATCGACGTGGTGGACGGTCCCATCCTGCTCGACAACCCACCGGAGGGCGTCTACTTCGTCGTCACGTCAGGTACCATCTCCGGTTAGCCCAGAACCTTGTTTACACCCGTAATCCGTAGACAATTACGTCGACTACGTCCTGACGATATCGCCTAACGACACCAAGGACCCGACCCGCGAGATGTCGGTGACGATGGAGGTCTCCGGAGACGCGTCCATGCAACGCGACTTGGACGTGGTGATTTTGGAAGCGTTGGACGACAACCTGACACCTCTGGCGAGAACCACTATTTTGGTGGTCGACGGCGACGAGTACGACCCCTACAAGCTGATGCTGAAGACGGACAACCGGAAGTACATCGTTTTGGACCGTTTCTATTTCCAGCTGTTCCTGTTGCTGCTGATAGTGACCGGGGTGCTGCTGTGGCTCGTCGAAATGCACGACATCGTCAGACACTTGCGCGCCAGGCGGCAAAGGAAGCAGGTCTCCTACAAAATACTGACCGATGCCTGAGGGGAGGTGAAAGGACCCCTTATGAAGCCTCCTAACAGTGATATTAGTTTTTAAATCGGATATTCCACATTTACTGAATAAATATCCTAGTTAAATTGCGGCTTCCATGAATCAAGAGCAACCCAGGTGCAAGACTCCTAGACATTTGACGTCAGCTGCTGTGTGCCTAAGTTTAACCCAGCGGCTAGCTGTTATACCAATTTAAAAAATCGTTGTCGATCCCAGACATCTCACTTTAGCTGCTTAGAGCTTAATTGTACAGGACTGTCTAGGTATTAGAAAATATATTACCATTCCTAGTTGCACTTATTTTAAACGCAGTGTCTGGGTCTTCTGTCAATAAAGAAAATCATTGTCCCCATACATCTAACTTCACCTACCTGGCGTCTACTTTTAACCCAGTATTTTTTTAAAGTATTTATTATATTATCCCTAAACATCTGCGCCAGCTACTTGCTGAACCCAATGTCGGGATCTTCTGTCATCTAAAAAAATTATTATTTGAGTAGACATCTGTCTGGCGATTACTTTTAATCCAGTCTGCGTGTTTTGTATAAACAAATATCGTCGTCCCTAGAAATCTGACGTCAGCCGTCGGCTGCTTAAGTTTAACACAGGGTCTAGATGTTATACCAATTTAAAAAATCATCAACTTCAATGGGCATCTGACTTCAGCTGCTTCGCGTTTACTTTTAACGCGGTGGTGTATAAAAAAAATTAGGCTCCAGATATCTGACGGCAGCTACATGGCACTTATTTTTAACCCAGTCTCTGGGTCTAATGTCATCAATATCAATATCGTCCCTAGACATCTGATTTCAGCTGCTTAGCGTTTACTTTTAACGCAGTGTCTGGGAGTTACATAAAAAAAATTATAATCTTTAGACATTTGATGTTGTCCACTTGGCACTTACGTCCAACCCGGTGTCTGGGGCTTATCTCAATAAAAATAAAATTATTGTGACTTCTGAAGACGCCTCCGTGAGTCTCGTGTTATGTTATGTGGTTAAAGAAATCAAGATCACCCCTTCCCCCATTCGTTAGGTGCAGATTTAGGTTAATCGGGTGTCTAGGTTGTAAATAAATAAACGATTATCGACATCTGAACGCTAATTTTATTTAATTTTGCTGAAAATATATTATATCAAGGAACTCGATTTGGTGCTGAGCAACACTTTTTTCTTTTTCCCCTTGTTGATGAGACGTATCTCCAAAGCGTTCTCTTCGCTCGCCACGTACAGTTCGGCGGCGCTCTTTACGGGCACCCCGTTGACGTGAGTTATGATGTCCCCTACTTCGATCCCACTTCTGAAACAAAAAGACCTTCTTGCGCCGCCGTTGCGGTTTCTCAGCGGTACGTACGCGTCTGCTGGTGTGCCCGGTATGATTTTCCATACAAGCAATCCCTCGGACACGTTCTTGGGCACTTGGTCGTTGGTTTTGCCCAGTTCCTCCAGCAGCTCCGCCGTTATGGATATCGTGGTCAGGCCGAAAAGCGTTTTGCCGCGGTTAGTGCCGGAGGATAATTTCGACATCCGATACTTTGAATTTTCCAGGAATTTTTTGGCGTATTCTGCGAGAGAATGACGTTACCTATGTCGGTAGCTAGTAGACGCAAGGGCCAGAGGCCGATACGGTTTGAAAACATTTCTGATGACTCCTAGATGCGTTGGAAATGAATGTGGGTCCTAGACATGTTGGAAAGTAACGTGGAATATGACCAACTATTTAAAATATCAGGCCAAAGCAGTTGTACTGGTTCCTAGATATGTTAATGTGTGACTCCTAGTTGTAGATAAGTATGGAACTGAGACCAGGTTAAAGAAAGAGCACCTAGACGCGAGACCCTTACATCTTACCGACAGGAATGGCGAACGATATGCCCGAAGTCAGTCTCAGGTTGTTAATACCGACTACGTTGCCGTCCAAGTTCACCAAAGGCCCGCCAGAGTTGCCGAAGGTGATGCTAGCATCGGTCTGGATGTAGGTCATCGAGTAGTTCCTCAGACCCAGTTCTTCGGCCGGCCTGTTGACGCTGCTGATCTGAAAACCGAGAATCGTGCGCCACTGAGGTTCGACACAGGTGACGCCCTTACAATTCCGACCGTAACCGAGTTGTTAAGGGACAACGGACTGCCCAAAGCTACGACCCACTCCCCCACGCACGCGTCCCCGATCTGGCCCAGTTGCAGGCAAGGCAATTTCTCCCTGACGTCGAGCTTGAGGAGCGCGAGGTCCACGTTCAAGTCGGCGTCTTCTACGCGCGCCCTGTACGTTTTACCGTCGCCCATAATGGCCGTGATCGTACTCTGGGGCTTGCTGAGGACGACGTGGGCGTTGGTCAACGCCCAGCCGTCCTCGCTGATGACGAACCCGGACCCGTTGGAGGTGATTTGAGGGTCGCCGGTTTCCGGGTCCTTTTGGTGAGGGTCGCGGAGTTCCAGGTAGAATACCGCGCCTGCGCACTCGTTCACCACCTGAAAACATTCCTCACCAAATGGGTTTTCAAGGAGTCTAATAGATGTTTGGTTATTCCTCGTTTACCAGGTGGATTTGGACCGTTTACAGTCAATGTGGTATAAGTCCAGTGTAATTTTTATGTACAACTAGTCCGTAATTAATTTCTTGAAAAATTCCTATGTTTCGTACAACTTCAAATCGAATTGACAGAGGTAGGTGGCTTAACGGATGGTTGCCGATCAGTAGTCTGTTATTTCTCATTTGTCGAGACTGTCAATTTTTAATTATATTTTTCTTACCTATCCATTTTTTTCTTTCTGTGGTTATCTCAATTTTTTACAACAATGATAATGTGATATGTTGGTATGTTTTATACAATGCGATCAAATATGTTAGAGCAAGTAAAAAAAAAAGAAACTACGCCGATGGATTGTACGAAAAAAATTATAAAAGAAAGTTTTCCAAATTCTTCAATAACTTAAAAGACAACGGAGATAGACGGGCGGTCCAAGAATCGATAGTTTTGGATTTTACGACTCTCTATCTCTGTCAATGTCAAATTCATTTCGCATGAAATGAAAAGAGAGGATTTCCTTTAACGAAAAAATCTTCAAAATGCGATTAAAAACATTATTTTACCTACACAGAACGCTAAAGTTTGAAAATATCGCCCTGAGGCTTTGTATCAAAATGCCAGGCCAATTATTTACGAAAAATATAAAGACAAGGAGCAGTTGCTATATACTACGCTATACCACGTGCACAGCATAAGTAAATACTATCAGTATCTTGTAACTTTGACAACGTACTTAGTGTAAAATTAAATTTTGTGTCTTGTAAGGAGTACTTGTAAATAAAAAAGGATTAAAATGAAGTATATCTTAAGTGATTTTTTATTTTTTTTAATTGAAATTAAACGATTTTAACGGTTATCCAATATTCAAAATGATGCCAGTCCATTTATGGCTAATAAATATGTGATCTAATTCGCCAAAAACAAATCTATGCATTTCTTTAATTAACCTCTAATTGTCTCGAAACCAGAGAATATGGACTTACAGCACGGCGGTCCACTTATACCTTCTTAATAAAGTTGTACTTGTCTCTAAAACCTTCCTCCTTGGTTTCCTCTTCGTTCTGCCTGACGTGTTCTTCGAGCACCGCTTGGTTCGATGCCGGGCCGTTGGAGGGCAGCACGTAGTCGAAATTCTGGATCGGCTCCGTCTTACCGCGGTAAGCGTTCCTCACGACGACGTAAGACGCCAACAGGGCCGCGGCTATCCCGAAAGTCCCGTACAAATTGACCTTCTTCAGGATTTCCTTGTTACCGCCCGGGTAATTCCTGCGCCCGCTCAAGGCCCTGCGTCCCACCAACAGCATTTTGAAGATTTTCATGCTGCCGTTTTACACTGCGAATTTTGAACGTATTTTCCGTTTGAAAACTGTCGGCTGACGCTTATATCGTCGTCGCCATCTGTCGGCCGCAAACCGCACTAAGGCTTCGGAATCTGCGTCGACCGCGATGGCCGTTTCCCGCGTCGCCGGCAGGTAGCGCGGCGAGTCGCTCAAAGAGGAAAGAGCGGCTAAAAATAATCGTAAAGTTTGAAGACCGTTCGAAACTTCTTGCAACCGGGAAACAATGGCGGAAGTTTCTGCGCGGGGCCGGGAGGTAAGTGCATTTCTCTCGGCGGCATTCGGTATCGATTTCGCCTAATAATAGGGAACTTTGAAAAAAGTTTTTCCGCTTGGTTGGTTAAATGACGTCAGATACGTGGCGACGCGTATTATACAGGGTTTCCAAATGTTAAATACGAAACTTACAGACAATTTTGTTAAAAGGAAGGGGAATCGTTCATCATTTATGTTATTTCATTAAATCTGTAAAAGGTTCTCTAATATTTTTTTTCCGAAAAACACTAGTTGGTAACTAAAAACTAGACACAGTTCAGTGAGACGTAAATAATCAAAATATTATTCGTTCACGTCACTGATTTGCTTAAAAAAACCTACATCTGCACTCATTTATGAGCAATTTTTTTTAGTCCGTCACATGGTTTTCAGTTAAAAATAAAACCTAATTTCTCTGCATATTGTCATTTTAAGAGAACAGGTTTTTACTTTTTTAAGCGGATTAAAAAAAAAAACAAGATACTAAACTTCTTTAGAAATGATTGGAGATTGTAAGAATAATATTTATCTTAAGAGAAATCAGTGGCGTACCATCAATATCTGCCAAAATATACAGGTGAAGTTCGTTGAGTCCGCCACTGGTGTATTTAAAAAAAAAATGTGGTACACTAAATAATGCCTCTTGATACATAGATACATAGCGCCCAATTTTCATTAAAATATCCAAAAATATATTTTTGGATTTTTTAATGAATGGATGGATGGATGGATGGATAGAGAGTGGGAATGCCTTAAGCCAGTATCTTGCTCCCTCGATTTTCAGGTTTAGATTTGTTAACTCCCTCAAATATATGGTAACTTTTTTATCTTTCCTTCTTCGATCAAATTGTCCATGAGGCGAATACCTCTACTAACTCTGATTTATTTATATGATCATATGTTAAAGCCTAGCCCTAGTAAATCATCAGTGGTATTGCTTCGTCCAAATCGATTATGTTCCCTTCGTTAACAGGCGCAAGAATCTGGGTCTTACATTGGATTCTGGGTCGAAGTTTGGATAATCGCCATTATCTTTCATAAGACTCTAGGAAGTTTCTTTGTGATACATTGAACTGCAGCAGTGTTTTTATGCCTTGCTTGAACAATATCGAGAAGTTTCGTATACAAAATATACAAAACTCATGGCTTAGCAATTACATTACACCACATCTCAGAAAGTCAGACTGGTTGACGATGTTGTGCAAGTTAAAAATTTTCTTAACATGGAATATCCCAGCGGATGGATAGGGAACGGCGGAACTATGGATCGGCCAGCCAACAGCCAACAGTACTTATGAAGGAAAATTGATCCCTCAAACGATCTTTTAAACTTTTGATTTTAACATTTTATATCATCATTTAGAATAACAATACCAAATATTATTATAAAACAAATTTTATTATTATTTATGATATTTTATTTTAATTATTATTAATAAGCTTAAATAATTAAATTGTAAAATTGTCGTCATTTATTTTTTTTTAAGATTTTTTTTTAAATATTCACTCCGCCCATTTTAAATCACAGAAAATATTATTATTACAATTAAAAATTATAATAATAAAATATTAACCAAAAAAACACAACTCAACAACATAAAATTTGTTTTGTAATAATATTTTGTATTATTATTTTAAGTTATCACTGATAAAACCTTCAATGCAGTTCGAGATGCTCGGCGCAATTTATTTTGTTTAAGCTAATGACGAGGAGTGAAATTTTCTCCCGAAATTTTAAACTTAAATGTTGAAAGTACGTGATCGACAAAAAAACATGTTTTTTTTTTACCAAGAAATCAGTTAAATTTTCATTTGGTATACAGACATGACCATGGATGGATTTATCTCTTACGGTTGATTTTTAATCAGTTTTTTAATTAAAAGTGCTTAAAATTTTCATCAACATTTCAAAAAATCTTTGGGGGATCAATTTTCCATCATAAGTACTTACAAAAAATATATATACATTAAATTTTTATGATCAAGCGGTAAATGTCAGTCACAGTACCATTTGAAATTACATAAAAAATTGCTAACTAGAATATAAAGTTTGTTATTCTATTAAACACATATATGATATACAGGGTATTCCATTTAAAAAATATATGATATAGCCTTATATGTCAGAAAATTGATGGTGTTTTATTTTATACGTCACGTGGCTACTAACCCTACATTTTGCTTGTTTGTTTACCTCGATATCTGTAAAAACAAAAAAGCCACAGCCAATTAAAATGCTATCAAGATAAATTGAAAGCACTTTTTGAACACGCCTCGTATTCCCGGCAGTGAAAACAACATCTGGCGAAAATCGAAAAGAGACGGCGCTTTGACATCTGCGCGACAAGAATTAGAAAAATAAAAGTATACGAACGCAGTTCCCTTCGGTTCAGGAAGTGGTTTTTTAACCCCGTTCGTCGACAAATGGGTTTTTCGGGCCTTTTTCCCCGTCAAGCTGCCAAATTAGTTCGCGGAAACGCCGCTTTCCCGCGAACCGCGAGCTACGAACGAGAGTTCACCGAAAATTAGGTCACCCTGTATAACAGGAATAGACCGCACTTGCAGCGTCCCGTGCAATAGGTGAATGTCGCGATACGTCCCGAAATAATATAGTATTTCGGGGTAGAGTAACGACGTGGCCGTTTGCGACGTTGCCACGTCCATTCTTCAGCAAGGTTTCACGTCGAACAAGATTGATTTCAAAAAATCCTGGCCGTGCGAAGCCTCTTCCCTGTACTAAGGGCTACCCAATCTACGCTACGCAGCTTTGCATTTTAAAAGTGCAACAACAGCTCCATGAACTTTGAAGAGTGGCTATTAGGAAAATAACCTGACCCCAAAAACAACTGCAATTGGTCCAAAACTTACTCTAGCTCATCGACAAACACGCCTACGTTTTGCACCGGATTATCTGAACCCGACATTGGTCCAATGGGAGTCTGTTCTGTTCTCAGATGAAACCAGAATAAAATAAATAACCAAAAGTTCAGGTTTTCACGAAATTATATATATTTACATGACAATTGTTTCGACAACGCCGTAATGTAATATCTAGAAACTACCTGTTACTATATACACCGAAAATGACAATAAAACCTTAATTAATGTTGTGAGAATTTAAGTTTAATATTGGAGAGGTATTTAAATCTAATTGATCGTTAAGCAATCCATTCGAAAGTCTCATTTTGTTAATCTCCATGGCTTCCAATAAATTTAATTTTCGACTTTTTGTGGTCGTATGTAAAATATCAAAATTGTCTTCAAAAATGTGTTTTTCTTAAGTGTGTAGCATAGTTTTGGTTAGTTTTGGTTAGTTTTGGTTAGTTAAGTCTAAAAAATTAATAGATTAATCTCGATAGTGAATTTTATACGATTATGTAATGAGGTAATGCAATTTAAAAAAGAATTCAATTCTCTGTCTGGTCCAACAAAGCAAGCAAAGACCTCATCCACGTATCTATACCACCATAGAAAACATTTACTTAAAATCTCGGCTAACGAAGGACTAAGTGGGTTTCCAATAATCAAACCTTCCTTGGGAATTTAAATCTGTCCATTATATTCAAAATAATTTTGGTATAAAGATACTATTAAGCAATTAAGCAATAAATGTTTGTTTAAATTAGAATCGTTAATGTACTTAATTGCTAATTCACAGTCGATCCCTAAACAGTCTAATTCTCTATTAATGTTCGAGTGCTGTAAGTTAAAGTTGAAACCTTTTTCCAGCGGGACCAGAATATGCCTTTTTGGTAGCGACCGACGAAAAAAAATGCACCAAAGACCAGATGAGCCATTTGCAGAATGCTGCAATGAAGCTGGGCGCACGAACCGACCCTGTTTTATTTTCGATCCTGCTTAAACCAAATTAACTTATCTTTGGCCGTTTTTTATTTACGACTTGAGGATTATTATTATTACAATTATTATTATTATTATTACAATACACTCTGTATATAATTTTAAAAATATTCGAAGAAGAGATTATAGGCAGCAATCTTCCACGTTTCCTGGTCCATGAATTTTTCAAATAAAGTAAACTGTTTTCGTAAAAGTAAATGACGTCATCGCGTCTAGATGGAGGGCCAGAAATAACAATAATAATAATAATAATACATTTATTGTCAATGTCAAGCAAAAAAGGAGATGAGAGCAATTAAAATTGTTCCACGTTCAACCCCGATAAAATAATATACACCAACTATTTTAAAATTATTAGTTCGCATGAGATAACTACAGCAAAAAAAAATGTGTACGTGTATATAAATATTAAAAATTGGAGAGAAAATTTTAGGACTGAACTTACTCGAAAATCACTTGCAATTTGCTTGTTGGCTGAACATTTCTTCTTATTATTTTTTTTAAATTTAATGGTGATAATGCTTTTAAAGAGAGAAGAACTGTATTGTAAAGTTTGCAAACATTATAGGAGAAGCTTCTTTGAAAAAAAGACGTCCCGTGTGCTGGTGGAGAGATAAGACCCCTAAATCTAAGGTTCAATCTATGAACATCTGTCCGATATGTTATTTTATTTATCTAGTAAGGAGGACTGTTATTCAACAAGATAACTTTTTATTAGCTTTATCGCAAACCCGACATAGTTTAAAATAGCTAACAGGAGTTCGTGACATATAGCGTCGAATGCCTTCGAATAGGCGAAAAGCACCAAAACGGATCACTGACCCGAATCTATAACAGTCCAAAAACGCGAAAAAAAGATGGATATCGGCGTCGTTATATACGAGGCAAATTTCAATTTTGTAGCTCCAACGGTTCGAAAGTTATTCAGGAAAAACCAAAAAACGAAAACGGAGAACGGACGAACAGACAAAAAAAAATTTTTTTTCGACGGTGATCATTTCCGTATCAACGGCGATTCCGTAGGACTCACCGTTACCGAGATATAGAATTTTTATACGAGCGCAGATACTTTCGAAAATTCGATTTCAAGCTTGGCTCCAGAACCGTGCCCTGCGGTACACCATACCCCTTATTTAAAAACAAAAACTTCACAATTATCGTAAATTTCCCTTCGGTTGGGCATTTCGGGTGCGCGACGCGGCAACGCCGCGTTCTCTCTCGCCGACGACGCGCTCGCTTCGGCGGCGTCGCGACGCCGTCCGTCAGTTACCGCAATGACGGACGATAGGCCGCATCCGACGCCCCGCAGCTCTAAGGGTCGTTCCGCGTCCATTTGCGCCACCGGTAGTACGAGTATGGAAGCGATTTCGCCAACGGTCGACGGTACCCCTCCGTACCAGAGACGCAGACGCGCCGCCGCCAGGTACGTCGCGACGCCCGCCGTCTCCCCACTATCTCGACTGATCCGCGTCGTATTATTATTAATTTTTTAAAGGTCGCAAAGCGCGAGGGTGGCCAACAGGAGGTCGGTACGTACCAAGATGGCGCTGCCCCAAGGGGCAGCGGACAAGAGTCAGAGCACCAGCGAGCCGAAGCTGACCGAAGATTCCACCCCCGACGTGTCCCCCAACATCAGACGGAAGGGGTCCCAGAGAAGAGGTACTTCGGTGTACCAGAGGAAAAGTACCGCCTTTTTGGACGTCCCGGAAACCCGGAAACAGTGTACCGCTGACGTCGAGGAGGACGAGGACTCGTACCGTTTGAGGAGTTTCAGTTTCACGTCGAAAGGTGAGTCCTCGTAGGACCAGTTGGGCAGTGTGTAGAACGTGCATAAAAGCTTAAGCTAAATCACCTCAATTAGCTTCGAAAAAATCCGGGTTATAAGTGTGAAATTTTTCTAAATTAAAAAAAATAATTTAAAAAAATAAGTTTACAAAAAAGAAAATATATTGCTGCCCAAATAGCGGTGTAATTATTTCGATAAAACCTAGATCAAAAATTGCTGATCAAACTAGAACGCACAGAGAAGCTGAAGTTAAGTGAGATTAAAGCACATGCTTACAGGAAACTTGGTGACGAGAAATAATCAAAAATATAAGTGTTGTTTCGATAAAAGCTAGATTAAAATTTACTAGAGCGTACATAAAAGCTAGATGAGTTTTCGGCATAAGCTAGAAAATAATCAAAAATAAAAGTGTTGTTTCGATAAAAGCTAGATCAAAATTTACTAAACCAACTAGAGCGTTCATAAAAGCTAAGGCTAAATTAGTTTTCGGCATAATCTTGAAAATAATCAGAAATATCTGTGTTACATCAATAAAAGCTACATCAAAAAATATTAATCCAACTAGAACGACAAAGAAGCTGAAGCTAAATTAGTTTAAGAAAAGAGTAATGAAAATAATTCGAAATGTAAGTGTAATATCGATAAAAGCTACATCAAAACTACTAATCAAACTAGAACGGCAAAGAAGCTGAAGCTGGATTAGTTTAAGGAAAGATTAATGAAAATAATTCAAAATCACCAAAAATTGCTAATCAGAGTAGAAGGTACGTAGAAGCTGAAGCTAAATTAGTTTAAGGCACATGCTTGTAAATAATCCAAAATTTAGCTGTTGTGTCAATAAAAGCTAGATCAAGAATTGCTAAACGTACAACGTGCATGAAAGTTTAAAACTTAAACCCGAATACTTGGAGAACCAATAATGTTCTAAATAAAATACATGAAAATATATTTTCCTTCAGAATTTTTAACAATTCATTTTTCATTAATGACCCTGACGAGCTTAGTTGAACGAGTTGTTTTTCAATAAAAGCTAACCATTTTTTTTTTAATTTGCGAATTTCGAGAAAATATTCGAAATGGCTTTAAAAATAGAAAAAAAATATTTTGAAAGAAAAAAATTAAATTGCGAAAAATTTTGAAAAATCAAACACATTGGAGATTATCAAGATCTAATGCATGCTTAGTTGAATGAGTTGTTTTTCGATAATAGCTAACGATTTTTTTTCAATTCAAGAATGTAGAGAAAACATTCGAAAATTTTAACTCAATTTTGAAAAATCAAAGACATTGAAGATGGCAGTCTAGGTTTGAGGAGGCAATCTTATCCAAGTTGAATAAGTCATTTTTCAATAAAAGCTAACCGTCTTTTTTATTCAAGAATGTTGCAGTAAACACAAGAAAATAAGGGAAATGTATTTACAAAGATGATGATGGTATTTCACAGATCTTCTCACCATAGTTTAGACATTATTTCGATAAAACCTAAAATTTTGAAGTCGTTTGAGGACGAAGAGTCACAGTCGTAAAAATAAAAAATAAAGAAGTTGGCTTTTAAATAAAAGCTAAATCAAATTTTAGAAAGAAAATGTTAAATAGATTTTCTTTTTCTTCTCCGTTGTCCGTTTTTTTTTTTCGAAAACCAGCTTTTCCTCCGTTCTCCGCCTAAAGAGGCGGCGTACCTTGACTTCGACCTGTGCCTCTCGAAGACCCGCGTCGTCCGAAAATAACCGCGAGAAACTTCGAATTCGACTCCCGCTCAAACGATCTCTCCGAACCATTAGTTTCTAAATTTAAACGCGGCCTTTTTTTTTCGATTTCGCGGGATTCGGATTACGCGCCGAAACGCTCGTTAAAATCTCGAAAATTTCCATTCGCCGAGCCGACTCGCGGAACCCGAAAAACTGGACCTTTTTCGGACGATTTTCCGGTGCCCTAACCTCACTTTTCTAGTGGCGGTTAAAAATAAAGCGGTTTTCCAGAATTTTTGGTGACGACGCCTCTCGTTTCGGCCTTCCGCGAATTATATTTCGAGTTTCGCCAGTCAACCAGTGAAAACTCGGACGAGAAATCGTTTATCCGCGCTGTCGTCTGTTCTCTGTTCTCTTTCTTTTTGAAACGCGATAAATGTTGAACCTTTAGAGCAGCGCAATCAAACGCGGACCCTTTTTTAGTCCTCCGTCATATCCAGAAGCCTACCGAAAATGGCGGTGATCCGCCTGCGGCGGCCATTTTTTCTCAGATTTTCAAAAATGTCGCGAAACGTTATAAAATTCGAAATTTCGCCGGAAGGTCCGCTATTTCTGAATAATTTATTCTAACAACGAACAATTTTCAGAGCTCATTATATTTTTGTCTATAATTAAAAAACCCGGTATATAATCCAAAACATACTTAAAATAAAAGTTGTAGCACGGGATCTCCTGCGTCTTGTAACAATTTTGCCGATCGGGTAAACAGTTTTTGAGAAAATAATTTTTTGCGGGAGTCAAAATAATCAAAAGAAATTTTTCAAACATTTTAAAAAAATACTTCGCGACATTTAATGACGCCCGGTTTCAACAGTTTAAATGCCGGTGTAGACTACTACCTCTCTACCTAACTTGAAGTGGATAGCTGTTAATTTTGTTATATTTCTTTATATTGCACTTAATATCTTGAACACACTGTACGATATATAAAAACCTTAAATACAAAAGTTTTGACTGACATCTAAATCACCGCCTTCTAGTTATGCTCAATTTCAGTTTTTTTTCACCGACGCACCCTGTACATTTTCAAAAAATCATCAAGAATAAAGGGCCCAGATCTCGCGCGTGTTTTGGTTGAAAAATCCTTTTGATCGTATATACCGTTTCTGAGATATGATTTTTTCTCGATACCTTGCCAATTCGATTTTTAATTTTTTAAAAAATTTTCCCGACTCCCCAGCCCTCCCGAGTTTGAATAGGTTTTTGTTAGTGAACTAAACTCTATATTTATACCAATTTTGTAATCGATACCTGCAAATCTCGGACACTCATCGTGTTTCATATTGATGTACGAAAAGGAGACGAAAATCGTGAAAAAAAGATGGACGCCACTGTCTGATCGCGGCCATTTCTTACACGGTTATGTATCTCGTGGGCCGTTTAAAAAGAACCAAATCTCAGCGCGCTGACTTAAGCAATTCGAAAGTTATTCACGTTTTTCTGAAGCGTCGATAGGGAACGGAGAACGGACAAAATTAAACAAAAAAAATTTTTTTCGATCCTGATCATTTCGCGTATGCTTTCGAAAAAGTTTTATAGATATTTTTATACAGGGTGGACGTAAAAAAAGACGATTGTGTAAGTAAGACTGTTGCAAATGCGCGATTTGCGCCCAAGGTCGTTTCAAGGTTAAATGCGTCCCGCGGTTTGTTGTTCGTTCCTAAATCAGTCGACGGGCGCCGAAAATTTAAACCCGCGCTCTTATAACAAACCGAAATTATGATTTTTCCTCTGCCGGCTTTTGTTTATTTTCCGCGGGCGTGAAAAACGTTTGTTTGAATTCGTGTCGATAGTAAAATTTTATTACGCCACCGGCCGAAATACGCGAAGCCAAATTTATTACCGCCCGCGGCTTCGTAATGGCGGGCGCGTTTCGAATTCGAAAATTCTGTTCCCCGTTTTTAGATCGATGACCAAAATCTGACTGAAAAATGACTCCGCGTGCAAATAACAAAAAAAAACTTAAATGATAATAATGTCTGGTCATGAAATGACATGAAATGAATCTGTGATAAATAGCAGGTCACGTCACTTTTGGATTGACGACCAAAATCTGACGTGAAATTGACTTCGCGTACAAATAACAAAAAAAATCCTTAAATGATAATAACGTCTGGTCATGAAATGACATGAAATGACTCTCTGATAATTAGCAGGTCACGTCATCTTTGGATTGATGACCAGAATCTGAGGCGAAATTGACTTCGCGTGCAAATAAAAGAAATCGTCAAATGATAATAACGGCTGGTCATGAAATGACATGAAATGACTCTCTGATACGTCACGTCATTTTTGGATTAATGACCAAAATGTGACGTGAAATTTTCTTTGCGTGCATTTTTGACCATGCCGTGATTTGATGACCATAAAACCAAATTATGAAAATATGACGTCTGCTAATATCAAAGCCGAAGTGAATGTGGAAGTCTTTTCTGTCATTTAACGTGAGGTTTTGGTCATTTGATGTCCATAATACTAAACAACCAAAACCTGACATGAAATTGACGCCCATTGTCATACAAATAACACCAAAATCGTTCCTATGATGACATTATTGTTTTGCGGACATAATAGAAGATGACCAAAATCTGACTTGAAATTGACGGTACTATGGAAATGACAAAAAAATCACTACATCATTAGCAAATGATACTGACGCCCTTTGCCCCGTCAAAATGACCAAATGGTGACGTAAAATTAATTCTAATGGTCATGTAAATGACAGAAAAGAAGTGACGTGGAGCTCGTAAAGTAAAGTCTTCGTTTTCGTCCTTACTCGATATTTCGTGACCATAATTCAAAATAACTAAAATCTGACTTGACATGCTATGGAAATGACAAAAAGAATGACACCTTTCACCTCTGACCCTAACAAATGAGATTCACTTCATACTCACTGACGTCATTCGACCAATTTAACTGTCATAGGTGACAAAAAAAGTGTTTCAAATCGATGTTAACTTCAATTCTCATGAAAAATAATAAATGATACGGTTCGTCTTTAACGACAGATTCACTTCATATTAACCGCTTCTGACTCATTATTTCTCTTACAACATAGAGCCACTTAAATGACATCATTCGTCTTTGACATTAGTAAGCGATGGATTCACTTTATATTAATAGGTTTCTCATTCTCACAAAGTATTTGAAATCGCGGACTTGACTCTGGTTCTCATAAGAATTGACAAAATGTTATCATTCGTCTTTGACAATAGCATGCGATTCATTTCACACTAATAGCAACTGGCGCGTCATTTCTCGCTCTTTGGCAAGGTATTTAAAATAGCAGACTTGAGGCCCATTTTCATAAAAATAACAAAATAGAGTCAATTAAATGAAGTAATTCGTCTTTGACATTCGTAAGCGATCGACTCACTTCATATTAACGACTTCTGCCAATATCATTTCTCGTTATTTGGTGGATATAATATAAAGCATGTAAAATAGCTGACTTAACTCTGATTCTCATAAAAAAAATGGTGTCATTTAAATGTTATCATTCGTCCTTGACATTAGTAAGCGTTTCCATTAATGGTTTCTGATAAATCGTTTCTCGTTCTTTGGTAAAGTATTTGACATCGCGGACTTGACTCTGGTTCTCATAAGAATTGACAAAATGACATCATTCGTCTTTGACATTAGTAGGCCATAGATTCATTTCACACTAATAGCAACTGGCGCGTCATTTCTCGCTCTTTGGCAAGGTATTTAAAATAGCAGACTTGAGGCCCATTGTCATAAAAATAACAAAATAGAGTCAATTAAATGAAGTCATTCGTCTTTGACATTCGTTAGCGATCGACTCACTTCATATTAACGACTTCTGCCATATCATTTCTCGTTATTTGGTGGATATAATATAAAACATGTAAAATAGCTGACTTAACTCTGCTTCTCATAAAAAAAAATGATGTCATTTAAATGTTATCATTCGTTCTTGACATTAGTAAGCGTTTCCATTAATGGCTTCTGATAAATCGTTTCTCGTTCTTTGGTAAAGTATTTGAAATCGCGGACTTGACTCTGGTTCTCATAAGAATTGACAAAATGACATCATTCGTCTTTGACATTAGTAGGCCATAGATTCATTTCACACTAATGGCAACTGGCGCGTCATTTCTCGCTCTTTGGCAAGGTATTTAAAATAGCAGACTTGAGGCCCATTGTCATAAAAATAACAAAATAGAGTCAATTAAATGAAGTCATTCGTCTTTGACATTCGTTAGCGATCGACTCACTTCATATTAACGACTTCTGCCATATCATTTCTCGTTATTTGGTGGATATAATATAAAACATGTAAAATAGCTGACTTAACTCTGCTTCTCATAAAAAAAAATGGTGTCATTTAAATGTCGTCCTTGACATTAGTAAGCGTTTCCATTAATGGCTTCTGATAAATCGTTTCTCGTTCTTTGGTAAGGTATTTGAAATCGCGGACTTGACTCTGGTTCTCATAAGAATTGACAAAATGACATCATTCGTCTTTGACATTAGTAGGCCATAGATTCATTTCACACTAATTGCAACTGGCAAGGCATTTCTCGTCCTTTGGCAAAGTATTTTAAATGTTATTATTCGTCTTTGACATTAGTAAGACACATTGACTTTTTCTGAAACGTTATTTCTCGTATTGGATGATAGCATTTGTGAGAGATTTCCTTCCTTCCAGAATAATTAAAATCTGAAATGACAAAAAGATGTATTTTCATCTTCAGTCAGGTTAATCCAAGGCACTTAGTGGCAACTTAATGACGTCAATTCTGTGTTCGGTAGTTTCTTTTTTAAATCTCGGAATGCAAAAGTATTAATTATTTACTTGGCCGTTTTGCGTAACTAAACCACCGACGAGCTTAGTTTTCATGTCACCGTAGGGTCATATTGTTTTTGATCAGCAATACGGGTTCTATCTCGTTATCTGGCGCGTATAGCGCTTATCGCGCCCAAAAACACGCACGGCACCAGCTTTACGTCGACCGATAAGAAACGAAAACAAACGAATAACGCTTTCTGTTTTTCTAGGGATTTTCGCGAAACACGCGGGTAAGTCGAGCGATGAGTGTGGTTTGACGTGTGCCGTTTCGCAAATGTCGCGGTCGCCTTAATCGGAACGAGTTTGGCCGAAAGGGGCCGCCGACGCTGCTCGTCAGGAAATTGCGAGCCCCGCGCACGGCCCCCCTCGGCAAACACCGACCGCAATTAGCCTGAACTAACGTCGCCGCCGCCCCCTCTGCCCCCGTGATTGCGTTAGTGCCCGCTTCGAGTGACAGAGCGCCATTTAAAGGTCGCGATATTACCTTGGGCTGGATTTTTGGTTTTCCAGCCTCCAGTAGTAATATCAGACGGTCAGGGTCCACGCCCCCACCCGACTAATAAAAAACGACAAAATTGAGTCACTTAAATGACACGAATCGTCTTTGACGATACATTCACTTCATATTAACGGTTTCTGATGCATCATTTCTTTATAATGCAAAAAAATTAAAATAATAATAATAACGGCCTTACTAAAAGAGGCTTTAAACAGCAGCAGCGCGAACTTGACTCTGATTCTCATCAAAAATTTCGTCTTTGACATTAATAGGCGATATTCATAGTAACGACTTCTGATATATCATTTCCCGTTATTTGCTGGCCGTAATATAAAGCTTGTAAAATAGCTGATTTGACTCTGATTCTCATAAAAAAAAACAAAATGGAGTCATTTAAATGTCATCTATGGTCTTTGACATTAGTAAGACATTAAGGGCTTCTGATACACCCTTTCGCGTTATTTGGTGGCCATCGTGTAAAATATCTGACCTGACTCAAATTCTAACACAAAAAAAAAAGCAAAATGGAGTCATTTAAATGTTAGACGTCTTCTGTAACGTTATTTCTCGTTTATTTGGTGGTTATAATATAGGATGGGGTGCAATAAATTTAAAACAGAAATAATAATAATAATAATAAATAATAATAATAATAATAATAATAATAATAATAATAATAACAAGAACCCTTATGGCCGCAGATTGCATCAAGAGATGATCCAGAAATTCCCCGAACTATCCGGTAAAACAGTGATGAATATTATGTGCCAACGAAGAGAACTATTTACAAAAAATAGATTGCCACCAGACGTTACTCGACGTATTCGCAATGAAGTAGCTGTCAGCTTAGGACACCAAATCGCTGCACAAACAGAGGAAACCCAAGACACACAAAACCAGATCTTGATAGTGCTACCTGATGATGAGCGACAGGCGGACGACCAACTACAGGGGAACATCACTCTGTTTCGGGGAATAGACCCGAATTTGAGACCAAAAATTCCCAGATTAAAAGCAAACAACAAGACTACTTCTGTTTTAAAGATTATCAACAACGCACTAACTAGACGAATTGAGCAGTGTAGGAGCTTAGCGCAGCTACACGATCTTGTATATGCTGCAGCAATTACAACATTAGAGATCCACGAGCAAAAGATCCGAAAACACAACGATCGATCAGCGCAGCTCACGACAACCAAGAAACCAAAATGGGATTCTAGGATTAGCATGAAAATAGATAAACTACGTAGAGAAATTGGAGTACTGACACAATACGTCAGCGAACAACGAACAACTGCAAAAGTCGAAAGGAAAAGCCGTGACATTATCAATAGATATACCAGTCTATCTAACCCCACTGCCACTGAGATACTAAATCTTTTGAAACAAAAACTCCAAATATATGCATATCGTCTCCGAAAATATCGTATATCTTATAATCGCAGAAGAGATAATCAATGGTTTACGAGAAACCAACGAGTCTTCTACCGCAACTTACTAAATGGCTCACAAGAAAAAACAAACGACGCACAATACCCTAATGAAGCAGCTGTAAAGAACTTCTGGAGCAACGTTTGGGATAACCCACGAAACCACAAGCATAATGCTGGATGGATCGCAATGGAGAAGAAGAAAACCGAGAAGATACCCATGATGCTACCTCCGACAATTACAATATACGACATTAAACAGACACTCTCAAAATCACAGAACTGGAAGGCACCGGGTCCGGACGGAATGCAGAACTACTGATATAAAAATTCGTTGCAACACACGCTAAGATGGCTCAACTCTTTCAAGAAATCCTGGTTGATCCACAGACATTCCCAAATTTTCTTGCAAAAGGGACAACTTACCTTCTGCCGAAATCTGATCCCCCACAGGATGATCCTGCAAAGTATAGGCCGATAACCTGTCTACCGACATTATACAAACTCTTCAGCGGTATTCTATCCGAAAAAATCTATCAACACATCTCTGAGCACAACCTCCTTGCAGAGGAGCAAAAAGGCTGTAGAAAACACGCGCAAGGGTACAAAGAGCAGCTAATCATAGATTCAGTTACTATCGAAGACGCGAAAGTAAACAAACGAAACATCTATACAGCTTACGTGGACTACGAGAAAGCTTTCGACAGCGTCCCGCACTCCTGGCTAATCGAATGTCTTTCATTATATAAAATCAATCCGCTCATTATAAACCTACTTACTAGCATGATGAGGATGTGGGAAACCAACGTTACTATCAGCTCCAAATGCCCAATGTTCAAGCCTATAAATATAAAAATAAGGAGGGGTATATTCCAAGGCGACGCCTTAAGCGCCCTGTGGTTTTGCATAGCACTAAACCCACTATCCACTGCTATAAAGAGCAAGCGAAGCGGTTATAAGATACCCACGAACCAAGAAATAAGCCACCTAGCCTACATGGATGACATAAAATTATACTCAGAAACCAACAATGGATTGAAAAGGCTCCTACGAACAGTAGAGGAATTCTCAAATGATATTGGGATGAGTTTTGGCCTTGATAAATGCAAGACCAACTCTGTTGTCAAAGGCAAATGGAGCCAGGGCCAAGATTTCCAACTTCTGCAGAGATCAGGCGGAGGCGCGATTCTACCAATGGACAGAAATGAATCCTACAAATATCTGGGCTTTCTGCAATCACAGGGAATAGACAAAAAAGAAGTTAAACGTCAATTGATTAACACCATGAAGGAGAGACTAAAAAAGATATTGAAAACATCCCTATCGGCAAGGAACAAAATAACTGCTACAAACAGCTTAGCAATTCCTGTTGTCGCACATAGTTTTGGAGTCATTAAATGGACCACCACCGACCTTGAAGATGCAAATAGGACCATTAGAACCATGTATACAAGATTCAGGGCCCACCACCCAAAATCGAGTAAAGAGCGCTTCCACCTGCCAAGAAGGCAGGGAGGTAGAGGAATCACTGATCTACGACTACTACACAGAACTCAGATTAAAAACTTTCGAGAGTTCTTTACTAAAACCGCAATGACATCGGCCCTTCACGATGCTATAAACAAATGCGACAAATCCCTTACCCCCCTTAATCTAAGCAGCATACACCTTGAAATTGACCCTGAATATAATGTGGCAAATCAGACCCAAAAATGGATGAGCAAGGAATTGCATGGCAGATATCCATTTATGCTGCAATCAGAAAATATTAATAAACAGGCGTCACTGGGATGGCTTTTACATGGGAATATTTTCCCTGAAACAGAAGGGCTTTTATGTGCCATCCAAGATCAAATACTACCAACAAGATCACATTTGAAATATGTTGTGAAAGATCCACAGATAGAAAGATCCTGCTGCAGGATGTGTGGGGAAGGCAATGAAAACATTGAACATATTACAAGTGGGTGTAAAATCCTAGCTCCTACATACTACACTGCTAGACATAATGATGTTGCGAAAATTGTCCATCGAGAGCTCTGCAAAATTGCCGGAATAAAAAAACATGAAGCTCCATACTACCAGTACCGACCGGATCCAGTAACGGAGAATGATAGAGCAAAAATCTACTGGGATAAGACTATGCTGACTGATCAAACTGTGCAACATAATAGACCTGACATCTGCCTGCTGGACAAAGATAATAATGCGCTCACGCTGATAGATATTGCTGTCCCTGCGCCTGCCAACCTGGAAAGGAAGCACACTGAAAAGCTGGAAAAATACATACCTCTATCAAACGAATTACGAAGAATATGGAACGTCTCAGGAATTCGCACAGTACCATTGATTATAGGAGCCACAGGAGAAATCCCGCAGAAGACCCTTGATGGCCTAAAACAACTGCAGATTCCCGAAAAATACTATCTTGAGATGCAAAAAGCGGCCATACTTGCAACATGCAACATAATGAGGAGGGTATTAATTATAGAAGAGTAGAGAAGAAAAAGAATGATGTCTTGCCCAACCAGGCCGACAACATTATTACTTACCGTTGAAAACGTGAATAAAAAAAAATAATAATAATAATAATAATAATAATAATAATAATAATAATAATAATAATGACAAAATAGGTCACTTAAATGTAAGGATATTGTTTTGTAAATCGAATATAATTTATTTGAATACATTTATGCATTTTAGACATATCACAAAACTGTGATGTACGACTTTTAAAACCTTAAATACAAACTTTTTAGATGTGCATACCTACTATACGACAATGCGTCAATTATTATTAGGGAAACCATATTTTCCGTTTTTTGCGATTACCGGGCACACCCTGTATAGTTTCTAGTTCAAGAATTTTCTTGGTCCCATCAACCGTTTTCGAGAATTGACTTTTTCCCGAATTTTTGCAAATACAGTTTTACCAAAGCTATATGCCTGCTAAATTTCAAGGCAATAACCTCAAAGTTCGACCACTCATCGTGTTTTTTGGACATAGCAATGTCAACCCCGGAGTTAGATCTGGGTTAAAAAAATAAAATAAAAAAATTGATCATTTCTGTACTAATGGGGGTCCCCTAGGACCTCTTATTCCCAAGATATAAGGTTCGTTGCCATGCACAAGATTTGGAGAAAGCAACCAGATAAAACGTAAACAAACAAACAATAATCCTGTATATTTGGGTGTTTAGGGTGTGGTACTAGAGGTAATTAACAAGAATGACAATCGCCATTCAAATATCATCTTAAAAAATAAAAAGAACGCTGCGCATACTAGAAGGAATTGTTC